GTAAAACCAGATAGACAACTAAAAATATATGAATATAAATTCGACATTTAAAAAAAAAGTAAATTCAATTTACTGGCAAATTGGTTTATTATTTTCTACAATACATTGTCCTTTATTTTGACAAATGAATGATTGACATAGATTATATTGACATTTTTCACCAATAAAACCATTTAAACAACTACATTAAAAAATAAGAAGAAGATAATTTATTTTATAAATGAATAGAATAACTTACTTGCAAATAGGAATCGTTCCATTAAGTGTACAAGTAGAATTATTTTGACAATAATTATTACATCGTGTCAAATGACATTGATTTCCGAAAAATGGTGACGGACAACTGAGATAAGAAAATGAAATGGTCAGTAAAAACGAGATGATTAGACTTACGAGCATGTCGATGAATTCTTAGAATCATCAATAATCAAAAGTCCATTATTAAAACAATTTATTTTTCTATTGATTATTTCGCGACAAATACAACTTTGTGTTTGAATATGAAAAATTAATGAATGACTCATAGTACCACATGAGGGTTCACCAAATAATGTTCGTGAACATACTTCACGTTCTGTTGGTGTTATAATACGATCACAAGGTACTTCTATTAAATGAAAACTTCATTGAAAAGACAAAAAAATAAGATAAATTTTACCAATTTCTTCACGATCATTTTTAAGTGTTGTACATAAATAGGGTGTTTGTCGAGTTTTAGATCGTGATAAATAACACATACAAGGTGGTTGTGAATCATTACCAATATGAAAACAACCAACATGAACTGTATCTGTTAATCGACATATTTCACAATCATCACCGATATATGTTTGATTCGAACAAACACAATGACCATTTGAACATATACCACGACTATGACATGATGAACTACATAAATTCATTTCTATCCAGAAAAGAAGAAGGCTATTATAACAAAAAATAGATTTCAAGTAAAAATACATACGTCCTGGAGTAATACAAAGTGGTTGATATGATGGAGTTGATATACAAATACGACCGTTTGGACATGATGAATCCGAACAAACTTGTTTAACCACTAGAAAGATCGTATTAATATATTATGTAGATGGTAAATAAAACAGTTACTTACTATTCGATATATCAATATTTGGATATTTAAATTCATGTATATATCGAATAATTGTCGGTGTTTTTAATTTACGATTTTTCTCTGTTATTGTTTTACTAAATTTATCTATCCATAATTCATCATATGTTGAATCTGTTGTATTAAAAACCATAACAACAAGTATATCATCATAGAGATTAATAGAATAAGGTCGAAAATCTATTCATAAAATTTCGTAAAGATAAAAAGAAACAAAATAATTTACTTGTAACAAAATAAACATCTGTTTTCCATGGTTGACTTGAATCAATTGCATAACTTTCAATTTTACCATTTGATAACATAACATATAAACGTGGATGACGATAATCAATTGTCATACTTAATACTGGATATTGGAGTATTAAAAATATTTCAAGATTAGATCCATCAAGTAAACTTCGATAAATAAAAGAATGTTGTGCATCATAATATGCACTTATATAAAGATATCTATACATGGAAAGATTTATTTTAATAGAACAAAACTAATGTTTTACCCTTGTAAAGGTTGAACATTAATTGATGAAATTGTTTTTAAATTAGAAAATGTTAATCGATTAACAAATATTAGCTGTGTATAATCATTTGTAGTTGCATACATGATTTCAATCCCATTTGATGACGATGATGGATCATCATAAAGTGCATAAACAAAACGATGAATCCAATCGATTTCTAAGGATGTAAAATGAAAAATTAATGATGACCATATCTAGAAATTTTTGAAATTATAACAAAAAACAAAGAATTTTTTAGAAAAATTAAACCTGTGTTGCATTATTTTCTAAACGATTTGTTAAATTAAATATTTGATTGAGTTTTTGTTGCCATATAAACCCATGTCCATTACGTTGTTCAGTATACAATAAAGTCCAAGTATTATTATTTGGAACAAATACAGCATCAATTAAATGATGAGAAGGATTTACTGGCTAGAAATATTATTAAATAGAAAAAAACAAAATGAATTCGAAGAAAACTTACTACGAAAATTGAATCATGTTGATAAAGATAAAATGATGCATGAGGATTAAGCATTACATTAAAAGTTTGATTACTTTGTACAATACATGATATGTTTTGTAGTTTATATCCTCGATCACATTGACAATTGACAGGAGATGTTTTTTTTATACAAGAATTTAGATTATCTTTTATTTGTGATAGATTTGTATGTGAACACATACCATACGACCAATTACAAAGGTTATCTTCCAAGATACAACTTCTAAATAAATATAAAATGATTGAGCTTGTCTGTCCGCAGGGTCAAAAAAACATCGAAAACCGATTTTTCACGATTTTTAATCTTACCCATTCGCTATTTTAACGTAACCTTCTTTACATTGACAAATAGGTAAACGATTAATCAGCTCACAATAACTCGAAGTTGGATCACAATTAGCACAATCATTACCTGAACGCAAGATAAAATATCATACAATGAAATTCATTGACTTACGACAACGCCATTGATGTTCATCATCTCCTAATGGACATTGATTAATACCATCACATAATTCATTTAAAGGTATACACAATGGAATCGAATCATCTAGTTCATGTCGTTGTTGTGCACATCGATAACCATTCATGCAAGTATAATCTTTATGTAATACTAATGATAGAATACCATTATTATTATTATTATTGTCGCAGTTTTCTTCATCAGACGAATCCGAACAATCAAGATCACCACTATAAGATTTAGTATTATAAGTTTTTATTTGTTTAATATAGAGACATACTCGCAAACATAAGTTCGATTTATACAAAAATCATTTGTTTTACATCGAAATAAATCAGCTGATTCACATGTCATATGTATTTGTGGAGGAATGATTGTTGTTAAATTAGCCAAATGATCTAACACGAAATCTATATATAAAAATAAAGTTCATTTTTAGTAAAAAAAAAAGTAAAACTATGAAATTCATACTGCATGCTTGTGATGATTCATCAGCAATCATTCCATTTATTCTATCAATTGTTGGACAATCTTCAACATTATCACAAACTTTTTCAAATGGTATACATTTTCCTGATAATGGACATTTAAAATATTCATGAGGACATGTAACATTTATACAATCAAATGGTTCATCAGCACCATCATCTAAAATTTTGATATAATTCAATAAATTTTTACACAATAGTTTATTATACTTACAACAATAGGGTTCATGATCACATCGGTGTGTAATCGATACACATTTTCCATCACAATAAAATTCTACATCCGAACATAAATTCGGATATTTTTCTATTAGAAAATGAAGTAGATTATTTTTTGTCTCATACATATTTCACTCACTTGTACACATATTTAAACTTGGCCATTCACAAAAATGTTTACAAACTATATCATGTTCATCTTCACCAAGTAAACAATCAGTTATATTATTACATAAATCAGCGATTGTTATACATTTCGAAGAACTCGAACAATGAAATGATGAAGTATTATTACATGCTATTTTAGAATTATATAAAAAAATTTATTTTTAATATCATGACACAAACCTTGACAGTTATTTTCATCTTCATTAAATATACAATTAGAAATTCCATCACAATATTGATAAAATGGAATACATTTTTTCGATAGTTGACAATTAAAAAAATGTCTAAATTTGGGAATTATCTAGATGTATTTTAAATGTGTATATGTATTATTACTTACTCAGGACAATCAGGTATGCAAGAATGTTTATCATCAGCTAGATTATAATATTGTGCACAACCACATGTAATTTCTGTTTGATTAATAGTATTTGGAAAACATAATTGTTTACATTGATTACATCGATTTTCTATTTCTAAAATTTCTTTATATCAAATAATTGTTCTACA